TATCATCAGGTGTAAGTAGAAAACTTGTGGTTAACCTTTGGAATACACCAAATTTAAACTTTCGCAAGACCCAAATATATAAAATTATTTCTTGTACATGCTTAGAGTTAGAGAACTTTAAAAAAAGATGTTAAAAACGAGGTATATATCTCCAATGTTTAAATTCTGCTCATTTAAGAATTTTTCGCCTTTTAATTTTACAAAACTTCTTTTCAATAAGTTAAATTTTATTCCATTCCATTATTCCAGAATTCTATATGCTCTTATTGCAATAATTTCTTGATTTGATTTTAATTATTTTCATTTCTAGCCGTAGTTTCCTTTGTAGTAAAATAAGTGTCAGATCAAAAATTAAAATTGGAGGTCACAATCGCACTATTAAATAAAGATTCTGTGAAAGAACAAAAAAAAAATATTCTCTAGTATAGGAGGAGTTGAGGATAAGAGATGGTTACCCTTCAATATTACAGAAAGAATAGCAGTGTCCATGTTTTGCTCTGGGAGACCAAAAATATGTGTCCTATTCCATCGAATCAAATTTAATGATACTTTCACAGATTTTTTTTATTACAGAATACCATTGTGCACCTTCTATTTTACTTTTTGATCTAAAACATTTCGGTTTTCTTAGAGCAAAATATGGACTATTATAATCATATGGGAGGCGGGGTTATCTTTTAGTAAGCTCAGTTCTCACAGTGCATCTAGTATTTTGGTATACATTGGTGAATAAAAAACTGAAACTTTTCTTTGAAGTTTATTATAGCAGTGTTTATGTTTTCTGTATTATCATTAAGGCTATTCCAGTCACATTGAAGGTTTAAGTATTAAGGTGTTCTAAATCTACATGCTTGTAGTTCCAAATTTTACGTTTACTAGTATATGCCGCATAAACATTGGTATTTTGATAAATATATATGTAAGGTGCTTGATGATCGATCACTAAGTGTGCGTGTCACTAACTTTAAAAGTTCTAGAATCATGTACTTATACATTGTTACTAATAATGATAGAAACTATGAGGGTTTCTTTATAAGAGTAGTTCTTATAGGTTGATGTATGATATTTTTATAAATCTACACCCATTCATCATTGTATGAACCTCGTGTGAGCTATTTAAATTACTTTTAAGAAATCAATATTAAGGTCATTAAGTATTACAATATTGCTGGAGATATCGCAGATTTTTTCAAAAGACCAAAGATTTTTTTGCTAAAAGACACTACTAGTGTGTGATCGGTAAATACAGAATATATACTATATAGGCCTAAGTAGATTACGCTTTACTTGTGGTATTTCAATCCAAATGAGTATAACATCATTGTGATCTTAACTTTGGATGGTCTGATCATATTGATATTATTTGAAAGAATGAAAAAAACTAAAATTTACTGTATCATGAGATATTCTATCCCAGATGTATATTTTTTTATCGGGCCACAACCAGCATATGCTGTTGAACTTTGATCTGGATTCAAAAAGACATACAGTGAATTATTTGCTGCAATTTATTGGGCTTACAATTATGGCTTCAAGATATTCATTATATTTGGAAACATGTTGGAAACCTTCGACTACAGAGGAAAAACTAATAACAATGTATAAAATGCACAATGCTTTAGTACCTTCTTATTTACAAAATTTAGTACCTGATACAAGAGGCAATATTTCAAGATAAGCTACTAGGAATTCCCTTGTCTAATTTTTTTTTGCCAAAATTTCTTATTAAAATTACCTAAAACTATCATATGGAAAAAATAACATATGGAAAAAAAACTGATACAAGATTAAAACAATTGTTTTTTGAACTCTTTAACTTATTTCACTTTAACGTAATAACCAGTCCTAATTTTTCCTGTGGACTACTAGAAGACGCATACCATTTGTTTTCTGCTTTTAAATATTATGCAAAAGCAAGGAATTTTTTAATGAATAAGCTATTGACATTTAATGATTTATATGTTACATATGTACATTCATGGGGTTATGATTCTCTTACCAATGAACAAAATGCTGAACTTTTAAGATTATTCAAACTTTTCTGAATGAATGTGGTCGTTTTTAAAAGATCTTAATTTTTTACAAATGTAAATCTATACACATATTTGTGCATTTAAAGAAGACCTTATTTTCTTACCATTACTACTATGTATATTTTAGTAAACCACATGTATACATGTATTTTAATTCGGCAAATTTGTAAGTTATATTAGGAAAAGACTATCTAAGTTTTTTAACTTGTGTTTATCATGTAGATACTTTGTCAATGGGAATATGTTTAATTCATATTCAATTAAGTAATAATCAAAATACCAAAAATGAAAAAAAATAATTTGAAAATTTCTAAAAATTAATTATACATTTTTTTTTTATGGGACCCTGTTTTTGACTTGAATGTCATAGTTTTCAAAAATCATTCATATTGTAAGTACATATAATTTGTTAAATATCTTAACCCTGATTAAAGTTAAATAATTGTTTTTCAAGAACAATTGGATGTTATATGATTTTACGCTAATTTGTGTTTTGTGACCACGTCCATGTATATAGGGTAAGTGATTTATATACAATATTTTTTCAAATTTTGCGGTTACAAATTTTGCCCATCAAAAACGTGTAACCTTTTGGCACTGGCAGGGTCATTAAATATAAATTGAAATGCATGAAAAATTCTTCTGCGACACGGGAACTCTGTTTATACTTTATAGTTTTTCCACGTCCCACAAGGGGATTTAACACCTTACTTTGTGACTCTAGGGCAGGTGCTTTAACCACTGGGCCTAGCAAGCGACATAAAAATTAAACATATCTAGGCCCGTTTAAAAAGTTTGATTTATATAATTGAAAAAAAAATAACGAGTTTGGTTTCAATGATATATGTTAATTTGATATATTTTTTTTCTGTAAATTTCAATCGTCAAAATTACATACTAGTAATTTAAATTTATTATGAACTTGGTTTAACTTAAATTTTTGTAAATCTGATACAAACTTTGCCAGAGAGAGAGAGAGAGAGAGAGAGAGAGAGAGAGAGAGAGAGATTGAAATGTTTGATAGGGGTTATTTATATTTCAATTTGATAAAAATTAGATCTTTAATGGGCTAGATCTGCAATCGAAAAGGTTATTTAAGGATGTATTGAACCTTCATTAATGTACACTTGCTTTTACGTCAAGTATGTACCGTGTTTCCTTTGTTGGTTATCAAAAGAACGATATATTGAAATATACTAAGCTAACGTCACCCTGGTCATTACACTATTTAAAAAATGTTTTAAAAAATCAAGCGATTTCTGAAGCTTTTTTTTTTCTTCACTTTTAACTAAAGTTAAAGTATTAATGGCCGTTTTTAACTGTTATTTATTACAAAATGCTGTATACAATTGAAAATTTTTACTCCTTTTTTCTCTCCTAAATTTGGTACAATTGTTTCATTTAAAAACCGTGCATGGTCGTTTTATAAACAGCTCTTTTGTTCCGACTCTATGGGCGGGGTTATAGAAAAGTGTGGGTTATCTACAGAAAACCCACACTTTTAACAAAAGAAATCACACCTAACTATGGTACAAATTAGGAAAAGACTATCTAAGTTTTTTAACTTGTGTTTAATCATTTTGACTCTTTGTCAATAGAATATGTTTAATTCATATTCAATTAAGTAATAATCAAAATACCAAAAATGAAAAAAAATAATTTGAAAATTTCTAAAAATTAATTGTACATTTTTTTTTTTTAATCGGGACCCTGTTTTTAGAGTTGAGTGTCAAGGGTTAGGCTTAAATGATCATCAATTTTAAGTACATATAATTTGTTAAATATCTTAACCCTTTACTCATGCAGAAAATTGTTTACGAGAACAATGGGAGAAATGAACCGTCTACGTAATTTGTGAATTTTGTGACCCTGGGTTCATGCACTATAGGAGCTGATCACTTAAGTTCTATATTGATAATATTTTTTCCTTTTGCGGTTACATAATGAGTAATGAGACTTCATCAAAAACGTGTAACCTTTTGGTACTTGGCCAGGCTTCATTAAATATAAATTGAAATGCATGAAAAATTCTTCTAGTCTGGTTATTAAGCAAACAAACTGCATCATAATGAGAGCAAAATGCATGATAATGAGGGCAAAATGCATGATAATAAGAGCAAACTGAAGGATAATGAGGCAATTTGCATTATAATGAGAGCTGATTGCATGCTTTTAATGATGAGGGCAAAATGCATGACATTAAGAGTAAACTGTATGATAAAGATAGCAAACTGTATGATAATAAAAATACATATCAAAAAATATTTTTAAATCTTTAACATCTTGTTGTCATTATTCTCATTGCATGCATATTTTCTGCAAAAGCTATAGGCTTAAAAGTAGGACTTGATATTCTATAGGCCTTATTCAAAGGTAGGGCTAAATTGGACAGTATGCACACGGAAATCAACCAGGCAATCTTTAGATAATTACAATGAGCAATGTATTTTTCTCTCTCTCTCTCTCTCTCGCTTATTGCTTTGAATTGCTTTGTGAATTCGCAAATAAAAAGATGATCAAAAATCACTATGTATGTGACATTTAATTTTTGGGGTCAGCATTACGTTAAGATTAAGCGGTGAAGATAAATAATATACAACAACAAAGTATTGTGTAATAATAGAACTCTGGTGGGAAAATAGTTTTTTTTTACGGCTGAATGAATATGATAATAGTCCTTATATATCTATACATATATATATACATCACAAATACATTTAACGACCGCATCCTTTGATCGCTAAATACACAACAATTAACCTTCATGCACTAGATAACTTTCTTTTATTATAAGACCAATCACCGGGTGTTGTCAAATGTATCAAAAAGATTAACATGTTCTACTTCAATTGCACCCCTTAGCTCGACAAAGTGAACATGTAACGAGGGACTGCTTTTTATCACATGAAATTATGAAGTACCTTGAGTACGAAGACCCGACATAGTATATGTATGTATATATTGTAGGGTTCAATCAAGCACGGACCTGAAATTGTATACCCAGCCGTGCATTATAAATGAACGTTACACGGATTGCCGTCGAAGACAGAATATAGATGGCCAGCTACAAGTATGTTTACTTTGCTCTGAGGGGGAGGGGGGAACTCATCAGAATGGTGTTCAGACTGGCCAGGGTGGAGTTCCAGGATGAACGGGTGGACTTAGAAGACTGGAAACATATTAAACATAGTAAGTTATGTTTTGCACTTTAAGGACATATGATATAAACAAAAAAATGATGCCTAGATTGATAAATATTTATGGGCCTATTTTTGTTGCAAATGATGCTATAATGATTTTTTGATATATTATGAAATTGTAAACCTCCTACGATGTTCAGAATTCCACCTTTCTGCGACAATCCTTATTAATTCATACACATTAAATCCCATTATTGTGAAACGTTGAATAAAATTTTGTTCATTTTGCTCATTAACACATAACTCTAGTAATTTTTTCCTCACTTTTTAACAACGTGTGTTTGTATCATCTGTCCTTAACTAAACAACTACTATTACTATAAAATTGTTTCCACTCTATACTAGTATATTATGCAAAAGATCACTAAGAAATTAGCATTTTTGAGGTAGTATTCAGTGAGATATGTATGTTAACATTTATTTTGTTTTGTTTTCTCTCAGTAAAAATTCTGACATTTAAGATTGATTTCACAAGCGTATAATTGTTGAAGCATTACACGACCTTTCATAGAGTGCGTAACTCTACCCGCAAATTGTCCTTTCGTCATAAATGTTTATCTAGTAGAGCGTGTATTTTACTGTCATAAAAGGAAGATCAACTAAACTCTAAATCATCAGTGAATTTTCAAATTCAAATATGAGACATATTTAATCTTAATTCATGTTAAGAGGGTTGGATTAGGTCCATAAACTTTTTTTTTTCAAGTTTGGCAAATATATATTGCTTTTAATTTATTTTAGTCGTTTTTTTATTTTTAAAAAATAAACATGTAATATTATTAAACAAACAGTTTTGAAGCAATGCACTTGTGCACAATATTAACTATTTCAATAGTGGCAGAGGATGTCTATAAAACAAATACCAAATTGCAATTTCTATTGAAATAATAACGGCCAAGAATGCGTTTCAAACCAAAATCAGGTTGTAACTACTACGTGTATATGAAAAACCGCCAATTATTTTAAAAATAATTTCAAAAATGAATTTTATATCGAAATTGGGTTTAACGTTTCAACCGCTTTTGAATTAACGGCCACTACATGTATTAAACAAAGTTTTTGAATTTTTTCTTCAAGATTGTTTAAAAGATAAAGAAAGATTTATAAGAATAATTGCAAAAAGGTAGAATTTCGTAATTCGTAAGGAATCTTTAATTACTAATTACTTAATAATTTGATATTTAAATCATTTAAGATAAATAAAGGCCCAAAATACACATTTTTTTGTATGTGCCATTCAACCTAAAAAATATTTTCCTCGTCTTTTCCGTAATTTTATAAATAAATAAAGGCCCAAAATACAAATCTTTTTTTTTTTTTCTTTTTTTTTTTTGGTATGTACAATCTAACCTTAAAAATATTTTCCTCTCGTCTTCCGTAGTTTTATAGATTATTTGTTTGTATTTGCTTAATTGGGGATACTTGCACTTTTGCAATCTGAATAAATAGAATATAGATTAGCATTTGCATAGTTTTTCTTCAAATACATTGGTCGTAACATAGAATATAAGAAGTATGTATGCACACAATATATAGCAACTGAAGTCGAGGTACGGCTGTCCTGGAAGTTGACTAAACGCAGGAAGCCTAGTTCGCCGAGCGTATATCCTGAGAGCTGTGATAAAGATAGAAATATTCACAAAAAAAAACTATGTGGTACGTGTATACCTGAATCATTTACACGAAAATATTTACATTCATTGAATATTTCTTCCTTTATTTTTATGGTGACCATTACCATTAATCAGTGCATAAACTACACTAAGCAAGTCAAGTGCCTAGATTTCTTAAATAATGGCTGTTCCATCAGTTATGCATGCAAAGACACATTTATTTATTATACAATATTTGACGTTTAAAATTATTATTATTATTATTTTTTTTTAATGGGAAAATGTAAGTGATCTAAACAAATAACATGACTAAGGTAAAATGTTTTTAGGCAGGGATTTAATGTTATGCAGCTATTTGCCAGAAAAGGGTTTTGCGCGCACTCTTGTAGAGCGCGCAGCAACTGAAAAATGACCAATATAATGGATATTGCTGTAACTTTTAAAGATTCTTGATGAATTTTTTTGAAAGTCCTAATTAGGAGTGCAAAGTTAGAGAAACTTTTCAAAAAGAAAATCTCACGCGCATAAAATTGTATTGGATGAATATTTTATCTTTCTTGTTTCTTGTCATAATCTTTTGAAATTTTCAACATAGTCCTACATTATGAAGATCTACAGCATGATATATACAAATTTTCATGAAAGCATGCGCATGCGCGCGTGCTGCAATCTGATTGGCTGAAACTTTAAATGGCTATATCTCCTTTGTTTTTTGACGAAATGCTTTGAAATTTAAAACATAGTCATACATTGGGATATCCTAAAATGTGATATAGAAAAAAAATCATGAAATCACGCGCATGCACGTGTGCTGCAATCTGATTGGCTGAAACTTTATATGGCTATATCTCCTTTGTTTTTTGACGAAATGTTTCAAATTTTAAAATATAGTCATTCATTTTTTAAGATAAAAATTTATAAAATCACACGCATGCATGTGTGCTGTAATCTGATTGGCTGAAGCTTCAAATGGCTATAACTCCCTTGTTTTTCAACCAAACAGGATTGGATTTAGAACATAGATAAATATAGTCATTATGCATGTGCTTGCGCGTGCGTGCACGTGAAATGAGTAAAATTAAAAATACACTCGAATGAGTGTATTTTTTAATACTTTTGGATTAAATGCTTTGATATTAAGTATATTAAAATTTGAGGTAGTGTAGACAAGATAATATGGTCGTTATGCACATGAACATGCGTGCAATGCCTATTTTTAAATATATTTTGTATTTTTCTGGGAAGACCTTGATTAAGTGTAAATTCCATAAAGTATTTCTTATCTAATAGAGATAACAGGGAATATGGCATCAAAAGGGAGTTGGGGAGCGTTTGGGGAACATCTGTAACGGTCCCCGTTACAATTAGCACTAGTTTATTATACAATATTTGACGTTAAAAATTAATTTAACTTTGAATGTTTTTTTTTGATAAAGATGTAAATCTAAACAAATAAAATGTCTATGTTTGTTTGTTAGGCAGGGATTTAACGTCGCAGCTATTGCAGAAATTAGGGTTTTGTTCCTCTCTACTGTAACCGCAGCCTGATAAGTTCAGAATTATGCAGTTAATCTTTTAAAGATTCCTGTAACTGTTTTAGTCCTTTAGCCGAAGTGCAAAGTTCAAACTTTTTGAAAAAAATCTGTAAAATTGTATAATGATAATTCTTTTAAACTTGTACAATGTTATATTCTACCCACCAGTTAGTCCCACATACATATTCGATTGGAGAAAAAGAGAATTTACAGAAACAAGTTGATTTGCTAAATATGAATAATTGTAAGAAGGCATTGACAAACCATGGCTACACTTTTCTTGAGTGCAGTATGAACGGTTTCTTTCAGTTTAGGGATGAATGTCACGATTGAGAACCTTAAAGTGACTATTTTAGTGTTAGTTGTGATGCCGTGACGATTACAGATGACGGAGGTGGCCAGACGAGAGACCTATCTTAATGTGACGTTGTTAAGCGAAAACGTCACCATCACAGTTGGTTGGAAACCTTTTATGTTTCTCTTTGTCAACTGATAAAATGTTCCTTTGTGGAAAAAAAATAAAAAACAAACAAAACATATTTTGCCCTTTTCTTTACTAAAAAACAATTCAGTTACTATAAGCCCAATGAAGCATCCGTCAGTTGTCCCATGATTGCAAGAAATTCATTCTGACTGCAAATATGCAAAGATGAAGTCTCCAGTGCATCAGGTGGTACTACAAATTTGACAACAAACCTGTCATCATCAATATGCAAATGTTTTTGACTTTTATCCACTTTTCCTGCGTGACGTCATATACGAGTGTTGTCCCAAAATTCCGTAGACAAGTGTTGTTTTGTAGGAACCGTATGTCATACATTAATGAAACTTCGTATATAGATTAAACCAACACTATCTAATAAATTTATGGACAAATATGGAGTAACTACACATATTATTCCAATTTAAAAGACACATTTCATTGTTTGGTGTAGGTAGGCGGCGCAATACCCAAGAGTTGCAATTAAAATTTGGTATATTATATTTAAAATCCTACGGAAACGTAATTACTACCCCGTATTTTTTAATGGAAATGAAATTCTTAATACTGTTCTATTAACTACATTTCCCCAAACTTTGGTGTTTATGCTTTGATAAATATGATTTTTATAACGTTTTAAATACAGGAGGTTGAAATACTTCCTGAAAAATGGCGAATTTGGCACAGAAACGTTGAATTGGAATATGATAATTGTTTTGCATTGACAAACCGAATTCACTTTTACAAAAATGTACCGGTTTCATATCGGTTTGGTAGATGAAACTTTTTGTCATCCTGAGTATTTAAAATGATTAGAAGTGTTTTTTATGTATATGTAAATAACAGTAGCTTAAATAAAAGACGGAGGTGGCCAAGAAATGAGAGAGTTGCATTAATGTGACGTTGTTAAGCGAAAACGACGAAAAGCCCGTAGAAATGTATCGTTTTCAAATTATTATTATTTCATACCTGTACATGCATATACTTTGTTTACATATTTTAATGTTTGATCATATCATAGTAATTAAGATATTTCACATTTATAACTATAACCGTTTCGTTTAATTTAAAACAATTCTGGTAATTGAAATATTTTCTCCAAAAATTTGAACTTGACATTTGTCATTTTTGACGTTGCAGATTGCTCCGGGTGTTAGAGAACGATATCACTTCAAATCTTATTACTCAAATTATTTTCAAGTAAACATAATAAAACTTCGTAATTTATATGACAACAAACCTTTATTTTAAAATTTTATGCAAATGTTTTTCTTTAAAAGATATGAGCTCAGTCTACGAAATTTTGGGACAACCCTCGTATATTATATGGTTGAGTAAAATAAAGATTTTAGTGCATAATTCTGAACGGTTTTCATACTTTTTGGACATACAGTCAAAAACATTTCGCATACTATGTTATTATGCGTTTCCTTTCGGTATATCTAATGACAAGCTAATTATCTTTTATCAGACACACCAACTGGCGAGCTGCCTTATTTGGAGGTTAATGGGAAACGTCTCACCCAGAGCCTAACCATAGCACGCTATTTGGCACGTGAGTTTGGTAAGGGCTGTGTCTTACTTAATGAAGTTTGAATTGTAAATACTCATTCATGTGTGGTTTAAAACTTGCAATGCTAGCGTTATCAGAGTAATTCAACTTTTTATGTTAAGAAATAAATATTCATATATTTTGTTTACAATTAAGAGTATACTCTGAGTTTTGTTTTCAGGGCTGGCGGGAGGCAGTAACTGGGAACAGGCCCTAGTAGAGCAGGTCGTAGACACTTGTGACGACTTACGGGCAGAAAACGCCAAGATCATTCACGAAAGGGACAAAAACAAACTGGTAACTATGTTCATTTGCAGCAATATCTCTTACGGATTTGGCAAATTTAGGTTTACTTAGAACAGGATAAAAAAGATGCTTTTTTGTTAATTTTTTTGAGTGATGTTGTATGACGTCACGTTCGGAAAATATTCAATCGTATAGAGAGATGTCACCATCTTTCGGTGCAGGGCTTCAAATTTAGACCTTTACTCGGCACTCACGGCCATTGAGCACTTATAGGTCCTTCATAGTACCAACGCTTATACGCCTGACATAGGGCCTTGGTTTTAAGGTTTCATCCAAAAGACCCACTGCTTTTACTCCAAAGTACCGAGAGCTTTGCAAGAGAACAGTTGATATCTTTTTTTATCGACTTAGGTCTTTCAAGTCCGTGATTCGAACACCCTTCCGATCACGGAGCGAGCGCTCCGGCCACTGAGCTAACGTGACGGTCTCATCCTATGAAAATAGCACCTCTTTATAATATATTGGTAAATCTAAGCTACTCTAAAAAAAACAGATAAAGAGAGAATGTGTACATTTTACCCATGTGTATTTTAAATTTTATTTAAAATCTTACCAATACGAGGGTTGTCCGGTAAAATCGTGGACAAGGCGTTTTTCTCGAAAAATAATGGGCGCATTAACCTGAAATTTTCAGTAAATGTTTATTCATCATATTTCAGTGCATCATAATTTTTTTTTTTTGGATAAAATATGGACAAAAATAAAGATTCTATAATGCTTGAATGAGCACAGGGTAGGGTCCTACGGCGCACGGTCAGAAAACCAAGGTTTTATTAGAAAATACACAAGTATTAATTCGAAATAAAGGTTTAAAATAGATAAGATTGGGGTAAAAATTATCCTTATTCAATTCCACAATCTATTTTGTCGTCTTTTCGAAAATTTCAAGACATTTGGTTAATTTTTGGCAGTATCCCGAGCATTTGAAATGGGAACGTGGTAAGCACAATACACGAAAAATGGCGCACCGGAGAGCAGTTCAGGTTGTTATGAATATTGAAATGACACCTTAAGAGACTTGAAATGAATGCAGAAGAAAAAAAAATAATGTAAAAATATGACCAGATCTTTAGTTGTAAATGAAATGGGAGTTTTCGTAGCGAAATCTATTTAATCGAGTCTCCGGGTAGTGCAAAACATACGGACAAACTGCTATTTGTAATAGCAAAAGACGCTGTCACTGTCGAACGTCGATATAAGATTGTCTGTTAGTTGAATGATGATGAGAATATGTCCGTATCTTACTATTAAATCTTCAGAAGATCGCATGTGTGTGCTAGGTTGGTTTCTAAACTGTTTGTGGAGACTCAAGTATGTGCGTCAATGAAATTTCCAATAAGTGCGACTTATTCAACTTTTGTTTTAGCAAAGATGAAACGCGACGCTGTTTTAGACACTTTGACGTTATTATCCGTGGACCGTAAGGCGGTACAATGCATAACATAAAATCTCATAATTTGTTAATTTATGCATCTATCTATTTGAAATTTGCTATGTATATTCCATCTTTGCTAGCCAAGGGTTTCTGATACGCTACTCTCCTCATAAACCCTTGCATGAGGGTTTATGAGGAGAGGAGCGTATCAGAAACCCTTGGCTAGCGAAGATGTGTATATTCATAAAATATGTCCTAAAAAGTAGTGAAATTTTCACAATGCAGTGATGATTATTTTTTACATTATACAACTTGTCCACGAGTTTACCAGACAAAATATACTTTGACAAAGTTGGAGGTACAATCTGATTCTTTAAACTTAAAAAAAATCAAATTAATGAACGACAGGAAAGCACAGTCCATCTGAAATTCCTGGGATAGCTGTATAGGAAGAGTAAGCATTACCTGTCAGCCAGTCACACCTGCCTCGAGCCCGTTGAATTGATCAGATAGTCGGAATTCCGTAGTCAAAATTAGTTTGAAATGTAATAGACTTATATACTCTCTCTCCTCTCTCTAGTCCTTGTTATGCCCGTGGGCACATAGGGCAAGGACTAGATTTCTCCACTTCTCTCTATCTTTAGCGTTTCTTTCCAGCTCTCCCCACGTTAGCTTGTGGTCCCTCATTTCTTTTTCAACCGTCCTTCGCCAGGTGGTCTTTGGCCGACCAGGTTTCCTCTTCCCTTCTGGTGTCCATCTAAGGGCTACTTTGGTGATGTTGTCGGCTGGCTTCCTCAACACATGCCCTATCCATCGCCATCTCCGTTTAGTCAACAAGGTTCGCATGTTGTCTGTGTTGGCCTTCTCATGTAGTTCCACATTTGTAATTTTGTTTGGCCAGAAAATCCTCATGATCTTTCTGAGGCATCCATTGTGGAAACTAGAGAGTTTGCATATGTCTCCTTCTGTCATTCTCCAGCATTCTGACCCATAGAGTAGGACAGATAGTACGCAACTGTTGTATATTCTTAATTTTGTCCTTCTACTTATGTCATTTGTTTTCCAGATGTTCTTGAGGCTAATGATGGCACCTCTGGCTTTACTTAGTCTGGCCTTTATATCTTTGTCCGCACCTCCATCTGATGTTACTATGCTGCCAAGATAGGTAAATGTTGTTGTGTTGCTCAGGTCGTTTCCATCAACCTGTATTCTTGGTGGTTGTTTGGTGTTTAATGACATAACTTCAGTTTTCCTGGTATTGATTTTTAGTCCAATTTTTTCTGCATTTCTCTGTAATTTTGATGTTTTACTTTGCATATGCTTTTCCAGATGTGATAGTAGGGCCAAGTCATCTGCGTAGTCTAGGTCTTCAAGATTGGTAAAGAGTGTCCATCTTATTCCTGTGTTATTTCCATTTAGGGTTGATTTCATTACCCAGTCAACTGATAGTATAAAAAGGAGAGCTGACAACACACATCCCTGCCTCATCCCAGATTTTACAATGAAGCATGCATCTGATGAGCTGCCTATAGAGCAATTAAACTCCACGTAAAAAGTTTTTATCAGTTCTACTATCTTTGATGGTATTCCATAATGTCTTAAGATCTTCCATAGACTTTCCCTGTGGATACTGTCAAAGGCTTTTTCGAAATCTATAAAGTTTATTATAAGCTGCCTTTGCCACTCTGTACATTGCTCTATGATATTTCGCAGGGTAAACACCTGGTCGCAACAACTTTTCCCTTTTCTAAAACCTGCTTGTTCTTGTCTTAGTTTGGCATCTATTGCAGTTTTAATCCTGTCAATAATTATTCTGCTGAAAATCTTACTAGGTATTGATAGTAATGTGATGCCCCTCCAGTTATTGCAGTTAGTAAGATCTCCTTTCTTTGGCACTTTAATGATATTTCCTTTGGACCATGTCGTTGGTATTGTATTATTATTCCAGATCTTGGTGAATAATGAGTGTAAAATGTCTGCTGCAAGGTTTGGATCTGCTTTGAATAGCTCTGCTGGCAGTTGGTCATTTCCAGGTGCTTTGTTGTTCTTAAGGGTTGTTATTGCTTTGAGTATTTCAGCTTTAGATGGTTCCTCTGTTTCAATTTCTAAATCAGTGTCAGCTTCCGGTATGTGTGCCAGTTCGTTAGGCTCCGGGCGATTCAACACTTCTTCAACATGTTCTCTCCATATTTTATCTTGTTCCTTTTCGGATGTAATGAGGTTGCTTTGCTTGTCTTTAACTGGCATGTTTGTTTTTCTTTTTCTTCCACTCAACTTTTTTGTTATTTGATAGAGATCTCCCATTCTTTGTTCAGAAGCAGCTTTCTCAGCTTCTCTTGCTATGCCTGCTATAAAACTGTTACGATCTTTCTTTGTTGCTTTCTTCAAATCTCTATTGCAGTTGGAGTATTGCTCTCTTAATCTCTGTTTTATTCTTTCAGAGTGGGTTTTACATAGCTTAGTTTTAAGGTCTTTCCTTCTGTCAATGATATTCCAAGTATCTGGTGTGATCCATTCCTTATGCACCTGCCTCTTAAACCCTAGACACTTCTTGCTCGATTCACTGAACAGCTTGCAGATTTCACTCCAGTGTTCGTCAACCGCTTCATTATCAACATCACCACATTGCAAGACTTGAAATCTGTTCTTTAGCTCTAATCTAAAGTCTTGCCTCACTTTATTTTCTTTCAGCTTGCCTGTATCTATTCGCCTGATGTTGCTTTTTGGCGCTACCTTCATTAGCTTAAGCTTTATGCTGGCAGTAACAAGGTGGTGATCACTTCCAACATCAGCACCACGCTTCACTCTAACATCCTGTAAAGATCTTTTCCATTTTCCATTGATGGCAATGTGGTCAATTTGGTTTTTATCTCTCCCTCCAGGTGACACCCATGTGAGTTTGTGTATCTCTTTATGCTGGAACAGTGTTCCACCAATGACCAAGTTGTTGTTTCCACAGAATTCTGTGAAGTATTCACCGTTCTCATTCATACTTCCACAGCCATTCCTCCCCATAACTCTTTCATAACCAACGTTATCGCTTCCAACTTTCGCATTGAGATCCCCCATGATGATCGTCAGATCTTGCTTTGGAACTTTTTGAAATTCTGCCTGTAGAGCCTCATAGAATTCCTCTTTAATCTCATTTTCTGCTTCATTTGTAGGTGCATAGACCTGTATTATAGATGTCTGAACAGGTTTTGTTCTCAGTCTTACTCTGATGATTCTTTCATTTACAGGATGGTATTCTATTTATGCTTTTGCTGCGTTTTTACTTAGGATGACTGCTACTCCCTCATGATGTTGACTGTCCCTTCTTCCAGAGTACACAATAACTTCCCCTGTACTAGCAATATTCTTCCCACAATCTGTCCATCTACACTCACATGCCTAGTACATGTAGCCTGTTTTCCTTCATCTCTCTCAGAACTTGAGCCAGTTTTCCTATTTCATACATGGTTCGTACGTTCCAGAAACCGACTCTCATTTTTGTTCGTGAGTTCAGTATACTTCTCGTGTGGACAGCTTCCCGTCGGCTTTCCCTGTTCACAGTCAAACATGCAGTATTCTGCTGGTATGCTGAAGACTCGACGTTAGTAGAAAAATTTCTAGTCCTTGTTTCCGTAATCGCTATGATTTTAAAGGAAGGGGAGATTACCCCCTTGCCTAACCCCCAACCTGGAGGACCTAGGTAATTTGTTTATGGATTCCTTCCACTAGATCTATGGCTTTCCATGGCTAACGAGACTAGATCTGCCCGTGTTTTTAAATTAGAGTTTATCTTCTCCTAGGTAACTGCTTTACCCAGCTAACGCCCTTACCTGAGCGGATTTCTGTAGGGTTCTGTAGGGTTTACTCCTTAGCCTTTCCTTCTCCAAAAGGTAACCACAAGGCAGCGGTTTGTAATTTATATACAATTAGTATGAAATACTGAGTAGGACAATCAAAGTGCGGTCCAATTATTGGTTGGATTTACAGATAAGGTCATTGTAACGACAAGAAATTAACAAAATGCTGACTTTAATATTTGCCCATGTAACATTAAATTAATTTTCAAAAGCCATTATTTTGAAGACATATGTAGTTAAGAGCCCTAGGCCCTTACGAGGGATCTGGTTCGTTTTAAATATCCTCTTTGTTTCTCTTGTTGTAGAACTTTTCGTTCACCTTGACGTTTTTTGCATTTTTCAGCATACGCTGAAAATTACTTCAAGGTCATTCATTTAAAAAAAATTCTTTTCGGATGATTATATACTTTGGGCTATTGGTCTTATGTATTCAGTTTTTATGAAGAGGAAGATTGTACACGTATCTTTAATTTAAAGCTGTATGCAGTTAAATAATTTTGCCCTATTCATAAGCCGTTCTCAGCTTAGGTTAAACAAAACTGGGTCCCTTTATACCCAAGCAATATCAAGCAGCTTTTCAGTCACAATGCGTTTAAATTAAACTTTTTTCTTAATAACAAATTTAGAGATATTTTTATGTTTCTGAGGTAATCTATCTTTTAACTTAAACAAAGAAGATTTAAAAAAAACACTTGATCATGGAAAAAGCAAACCTCATTGTCTGTGTAAAATGGAAAAAAAAATCAAGAGAAACATGATGTACAGAGTATCCGAAATCTAAAAACTGAATTCAAATGCAAAATATACCGGTCTTGTAGAGTAGGCTTTCCCCCCAGGAAAACTGACTCTAGAGTAGAATTTCCCCCAGAAAACTGGCTCTAGAGTAGGATTTTCCCCCAGGAAAACTGGCTCTAGAGTAGAATTTCCCCTAATCCCACACCAGAGTCAATTTTCCGGGGGGAAATTCTACTCTTTGTAGTAGTTATAGAGTGCGTTTCCCCCAGAACCAATTTTTCCCCCAATGAAAATAATTGCTTTACTTATTTTTGAGAAGGAATGGTTGGCACAATGCCACAAGTGCCCCTTCTTCAAAATAGTGATCCGATCTATTGAACATACGTTTACGAAAAAAGGAACATGAAAATTTTAAATCCGATTTTTCATGGCTACCGTCAAACCATTTTTTTTAAATCAAATAAATTGATGAAACTGGAGAGGATTATAAGTTTCCTCTGCGTCTGTCCATCCGTCTAGCTGTCCTTCTGTCTGTCTGTGTGTCCCAAATGGGTTTCCGCGCTGTTTTTCTAAATGCTTGAAGATATTGGGCTGATTTTTGGTATAGGAGTATATCTTGATGAGTTAACGTTTAAGTTTGCATTTCGTTTCGCTTCACTTTTTTTTTTAAAGAATTACGACCTTTTCAATTTAAACTGTTTTCCGCAATGTATTTTAAACGATTGGAGATATTGAGAGCTAATTTTTGTCAGGTTAATTTCAAGTTTGCATTTTGTTCCACTTTAATGCAATTTACTTTTCAATTTTTAACTACATTATACTTGCCGAAAGCGGACAATTATTGCTAATGTAATACTCTAAGAAACTTGTTACATGTATAAACACTCATTTACTCGTACCTTTTAGAAATCAGTTTGTCGTTTATCTTTTTTCACAAAAATATTGCGGCTGCGATGTATATTGACTCTATAACGAGGGGGGAAAATCCAACGCTGAGAAAGAAAGAGGGGGAAGTTTGGCTCTGGTGTGAGATTTCCCCTCGGGGAGAAATCCTACTCGATCTAGAGTACGATTTCCGGGGGGAAAGCTGGCTATGGGGGAAATCCTACTCTACAACATCGATATACAATTTCACAACTACAGGCATACAATTGGAACATTTTGTATGATTCAGCTCTTGTAGGGTTGGTTTTACCTTCTAATATCCCCCTACCGTGAAAAATAGACTTTAGAGTAGGATTTTAAACAAACACAACAAGCAAACACCAATATACAAAGAGAAAGTGGGGCAACTTATTTTCACACGCAGCCCCTCGATAATATTCCCGAAGATAATCTTTTTACAATGTTTACCAGATCCATTGCAACATAATTATGACAATGGGTATTTCCATTCTTATGTTGATACGATACCACAGAGTCTGAGACATCTGTTTCACGTTTGGATATTTAACTTGAAAAAGAAGTTAATGGTAATCTTACAACCAACCTCTATTATAAACGTGATGACTTGAACTTTTCAATCGTCAACTTACCTTACTTATGCAGCAATACAATTTCATCACCTGCACACGGAGTTTGTATCTCTCAATTGATTCGATACACAAGAGCAGGATCTACGTATGTACAATTTCTAAAACGAAGTAAATTATTACAAACAAGTTGATGAAATATCAACAGTCTCTTGAAATGTCATCATTTCGTAAGTTCTATGGTAAATAAAATGACGTCAGCAAAAAAAATTATCATTGAGTAAAATGCTAACTGACGTTTTTTATACAACTTATCAGTCCTGAATTGACAACGAATTTTTCCGTTATTTCCCAATTAGAACAAGGAACACACAGCGGGTGTGACTGGTCGGCAGGGGATGCTATACAATTAGTTGTTAGTTGCCCGTTGTCGCATATAAACGGTAAAAATCCAAATATAAAAAGATGTCAGACACTTTTTGTCTTTTATTTCGAGTATACTTGGATACACCGAGTCTAAATTTGAAAAGACGTATTTTTCCTGAATGTCGATATGAAGACCACGTCAAGTATTTTTGATTGGTAGTATTTTTCTGAAGTTTTAGGATCCAGTATATGTATGGTAAATAATGATAATAAAACGAGGGTTGTTAGAAAAGTTCGCGGACACGTTGAATTACGGAAAATCTTTTGTGTAATGTGAAGTACGACCTATGTCTGAATAAATTCCTACATTTTGTTTATTGATATGTAAAAACTCAGGTCCATATAATAAAATCTTGAAATTTTACAGCTATTTTTACTATGGGGTCATGGGATTCACGGAGCAATCACTTGACGTTAGCGACGTGACAACCAGTTTTCAACCCGTTAAGCTTTGTCGCAGTTTTATAAATCTTTCATTTCTTCAGATTTTTCTTATCTTTTTTCTACTTTAAAATTGAATATCTATATCAAGACATGTTACTGTTCTACTACAATGTCTTTTGTTTTGATTCGGATATTATTGAGATCTTAAAAAAATAAATAAAAGTCTACGCAGTCATTAGATCAGGTATGGAAACTATGCAAAACCATATAAGCGCAACGCAACGTCCATGCCATAAGGGGGTATTGAGGTATCGATGGAGTTAATCATTCAAAATGTTAATCCTTCCATTTTTACTAAGCTACAACCATTTGAAAACTTGTTCTTTGCATGTGTAGGAAATTCCCGGCAGCATCTTGAACATTTAAATCTCTTTTTAGACATTTTCCTGTCTGTACAGATAATTTTTACGTAGTGCAGTGCTCCATGACAGTCAACAACGTTCCGATTTTTGGCTGTGTTTTTACGCGTTGATAATTTATAAACGGCTATAAAAAAGTCATTTACCCTCCAATTTAGTTCAAAATTTCTCCCAGTGACGCTTCCTGCATGCTTAAGCGGCAGGTAAAATATCATAAATTTCTTTGCGCTAAAATTGTGCAATTTTTAATTTTAATAAAGAGTTTTGTGATGTAAACTTGCCAAAATGTAGCATGCTCCGTGAAGCAAGGTTTATCAAAATAAAAAAGCTGTATATTTTTCAATAATCACTGGAGAGCACCAAATTCTTGTATATTAATTGGAAAAAAGGTTAAAATTTTATCTGGAAATTTTGACTGGTTTCGTGGAAATAGCGCGCTCACAATAGAACCTGTCCGCGAAATTTTCTAACACCCCTCGTACTTATTAATTGAACTCACCTTTGTTGATTGGCAAGCCAATTTTAAATCGAAAGCACTCATTTTCTAGCTGAAAAAATAAAAAAAAGCGTTCATATAAACTTTTAGTCAAAATATTATCAATATAGTTTTAGCATTGATATAAAAAGGAGAAATCTTACGCTGAGAAAGAAAATGGTAAAGACTCAACTGTTAGAAGTCCTCCTAGGGGATCTAACCTTGTTATACCGTATTCAATTACTGTATGCATAATGGTATATTTCCGAGTAAAATTTTATTTTATATTTTGCAGAATGAACTTAAATTAAAAATGAACGATGTAATCCTACCTAGATACCTGGATAGACTCAGCAGCTTCCTGAAGCAGCATGGCGACAAATATTTCGTGGGATCAGAGGTAACAGTCTGATGAAAATTATATCCTCATTTTTATTACATTAAGTTGTCTTTCTGTGTGTTTAATTAGAATATATTTTTTCATTTAAAATACAGCAGAATTGTTTATATACAAGCTTATATTTATGACACAAGGTGAAAAAACAAACTACTAATGTGTTTGACCATCTTCCAGCAAAGCAAGATATGAAATAAAAAGGTTTTATACCTTTAATACTAATAAGTAATAAGTGATTACTCCTTAATCGTAATTGTAATTGACAATAAATCAAATTCTAGAAGAAAATTGAAACTATTTTAATCCTTTTGAGCTATCATGGTGATCTACAGCTAAGGGGCATATACAAAAGTAAGAAAGAAAATTCTAGAAAAAATTAATCAGAAAAATGACAGGAAAAATGAGTGAGGACTAAGAGTGCCATGAACACACTTTCAGCTTGCTTTAGAAAGACCCAAGGCCTTTCTTTGTTCTTCTCATGCAGTTAAGTCCTAGTGGCCTGATTATGACTTTCTTATAAAATATAGAAAAGGCAAAAATCAAAGTAATATTATACAGGTTTCAAGGTGCATCAACTGATAAGGACTACTCTGCCCCAGACCTCACAATGTTGTAATTTGAGCAGATAAAAAATGCACATTAAGCCCTTATATCCTTCTTTTAGCTGCACAAACCTTTACTCCAAGGTGAATGAACTGAAAGGACAATTTAAAGTTTCATATAGTATTTTTTTTTAGAAACGATCTTCTTTTTATATGCGGCAAGGCCCTGATTCGTTATATGTGTTATATTGACTTTAATCTTTATTATATTACCTGGAGTACATCGGTACTTTATTGCAAGAGTACAAGGATACTTTACCACAAGAATACATGGATACTTTATAACAAGAAATATAGCGATATTTATCGCGAGAATTCCAGAGATACTTTATAACGAGAATACAGGGAAACTTTATCACAAGATGAGAAGTACAGCTATATTTTATAACAAGAAAAAAGGGATGTTTTATCACAAGAGGAAAAGTACAGCGATACTTTGAAACAAGAAGGAAGGAATTCTTTATCACAAGAAATATAACAAAACATATAAGTTCTGCGATACTTTATATAACAAGAACACATGGATACTTTATCACAAGTAATAAAGCGGAAGTTATCACGAGAACATACAAGTATATAGTTACATGTACTATTTTCCTCTGTTACTTTAGAAAACTTAGTACTGCATAAATGACTATTCTCCTTTTTCTACCTTATTTTTAAATAAGAAGACATGGTAGTTCATATATATTTAAAAAAATGGCTACTTTCCTCCTGTTTTAGATTACTTTTGACAGATATTTGCTATTTCCTCCCTATTTAACATATACATTAGCAGACCTAGCAGCACATGAAGTGATGACTACTTTACTCCTGTTTTAGATTACATCAACAATACATGAAGTGATGGCTACTTTCCTCTATACTGAAAGAAAAAAGAAACGCATAAGAGCATAATATGCGAAAAAAGTTTTGAATATGTGGCCGAAAATTATGAAATTGGTCATATGTATATTTTGGTAACTTTGTACTAAAATCGCTGGTCAAAATTACTCAACCATGAAATGTAAGGCGTCACGTGGTGGAAGTGATAAAAAACCAGAAACACGTGCATTTTGATGATGACAATTTTTAAATTCTTTGAAATTAAGAGGCAGTCCACCGAAAAACCAGGCAGTATTGTATTAATAGGCGGCACATCAAATGTGATGAATATTTGGTATTTTATTAAAAACAATATCAATGTAGTCCAAAAGGAATAATGTAACTAAAGATTTGTTTGAAAATTGCTTATTTAGTAAAATATCCTTGTGTTTTTGAATTCCCCTATATAAACCATTGAAAGTAGGTAAGAAACAAAGAGCTGTAATTTCTAATACAATTTTAACAGGACTATAATTCACATTTAAATAAATCTAGAAATATTTCATCTTTTTGTTTAAAAAATAAAATCATTGGGAAAAACACTTTTAATAGACGTTTTCTGGCAAAATATATAGACGTTTTTATGAAAATTTGCGATGCAAGAGTTATCTCCCGTGGCATCGGTAAATCTACTAAACACATTTTCATCGGAATCCTAGTGAAATATTTAGAATCGATACACTAAAGAAAATAATTAAACAAAAAATAAATAATTTATTTTCAAAATATAATTCATTTTCGCCTCCAAACATAATATTTAGATTAAAATTGGCTATAATATTCAGGTTAAATCCACGTTTCCATTGATGTATCAGTGACATCATAATATTGCGTCACAATGAAATAGTTACAAGTTTTCCAGAGAAGTTCGTAAATTCTTTGCGTAAAGTGTAAAGAAAAATATTTTTTTTAAATGATTTCTCTTTTTCTGTTTGATTACTCTTCAGAGTACATTATACTAAATGTTAAATAATATTTTAATATCAAAATGTACACATGTATTTTACACAGTACACGGGCGGCGTCTCAGCAAGATGACTTTTTTGATAAGTAATTTTATACATGTCCGAGAACTAATTTCTTAAAATTGATTTACCAGGATATGCGTTAAAATAATTAATGAAGTGTTTATAATGAACATTTCTTATAAAATTGGGAATCAATGATGAATGTTAAATTAACATGAAGAGCCAAACTTAGGAAATTTTTCTAAATTTACGGTAAAAACCGATCCCGATTGAAATAAAACCGATCCCGATCGAAAATAATGAAAAATTAATCAATTTATCAAACTTAAGGCACCTGCCACCTTTATAATATGTTAAAAAAATAAATCAAGTAATTTATTAATCATATTACAACAAAAGAGCCAAATTTGACATTACTATTTTAGTATTTTCTTCTTTATACAATTCCAGTCGGGATCGGTTTCATTTGTGAAAACTATAAAAAATAAGTAAATTTGACTCTTTTTATTTCTTTCAAAATACCTTTTCCCAATGTTTTTATTGAATGACCCAAAAGTTTGTACTTTGTATTCATAAAAACATAAGTAAACAAATATTTCCTTGTATTGTATTGGGTTTTATAACGTAATCAAAATTGGATACTGAATTTAAACATTTACTTGTTAAACTCAAATTTGGACCAGATAATTTTTTTCTTAAGAAGCATAAATTGGATTTTATTAATTCATAAAATAAAAGATAAAAGTCTATTCTATAAATAATATTCATCGGCACATCCACCTCTGGAGTATCTGTTATATATATAACGAAATAAAAACGTAGTATTTTTTTTACCCTCATGTTGACCTTTTTGCACTTAAAATTAAGCATTTACCAAAACTAGGACTAGAGGAGCACTATGAAATTTTTTGATGTTGTCATGTGTAAACACTTGCTTTAATAAGTCTACATGCAAAAAATAATTAAAATCCATGACATGCCATGTGCCACCCATTGCCTGGTTTTTCGGTGGACTGCCTCTTAAAAGGTGCCCAACCAACCATGACGATGACGTTGGCGCGTAACAACGTCAAATCAAGATAGGGTTTTTCATCATGCTACCTCGGTTATTGCCGTGACATTATCCCTAAAACCGAAATTTATACAGCAGACAATCATACTCACCCTAATACTGACAGAAACTCTCTGCTCTAATTTGGGGCGCGAGCTTAGCAATTTTACGTCGATTTTATTCTCACACGCGCACGTACGCGTCGTATGCATAATGTTTTTAGCATGTTCACACTGGGAAAATGTAGCAAGTGTTTGTCAAGACTTTCTTACAAACATTCACGTGTACCAAACCAGCTGGATTCTTTAAATTCTATCCTAAATCGAAAATTCGTGGGATTCATCGAGCGGAGGATTTGTTGGCTTTGGAATAAGACAGCTACTCTCAGCCATTAAGACGGCCATTACCGTCAGAAGGCTTGAATAATAATCCCATAAGAAAGATAAATGCTCTGGTGAACTCAATGCACAGGAAAATCAAGGCTGTTACTGATGCGCAAGGGAGATGATGACAATTTTTATTTTAGAATTTGGGGGTATCGACATATCAATTTCAATAACTCAAGAATTATGAGTTGAAGTTATAAAAGATTTTGGTAACTTGTTGATTAAAGTTGAATTAAAATGTTTGATAACAAAACTGGAAAACATATTGGAAAATAATAGTTTTAATTTAATTTAAAAGTTTACTATGCGTTTCTTTTTTCCTTTCAGTATGTATAGATTACATTAGCAGATTTAAAGAGGCTGGGTGGTCGTGGCCATTTTTAGACTATTTTGATCTCCATTAGAAGAAGAGTTCCATATAAAGATATAATAAAATGATCAAATTTTAAAGCTAAAATTTATGAAATTTTTCTTTGCCAAATAATAGTTGACAGCTTAAGATATCATATCCCAAAATTTAAGTTATATCTGGTGGTTAATAAAAAAATAATTAGTTGACCCCCTAGCCTCCTTAACAGTACAGGAAGTGATGACTACTTTCCTTCTGTTTTATAGATTACATTAGTAGACTTAACAGTACATAAAGTGATGACTACTTTCCTCTTATTTTAGATTACATTAGTAGACTTAACAGTACATGAAGTGATGACTACTTTCCTCTTGTTTCACATTACATAAGTAGACTTAACAGTACATAAAGTGATGACTACTTTCCTCTTATTTTAGATTACATTAGTAGACTTAACAGTACATAAAGTGATGACTACTTTCCTCTTATTTTAGATTACATTAGTAGATTTAACAGTACATAAAGTGATGACTACTTTCCTCTTATTTTAGATTACATTAGTAGATTTAACAGTACATAAAGTGATGACTACTTTCCTCTTATTTTAGCTTACATTAGTAGATTTAACAGTACTTGAAGTGATGACTACTTTCCTCTTATTTTAGATTACATTAGTAGATTTAGCAGTACATGAAGTGATGACTACTTTCCTCTTGTTTCACATTACATAAGTAGACTTAACAGTACATGAAGTGATGACTACTTTCCTCTTGTTTCACATTACATAAGTAGACTTAACAGTACATGAAGTGATGACTACTGTCCTTCTGTTTTAGATTACATTAGTGGACTTGGCGGTACATGAAATGATGATTACTTTTCTTCTGTTTTAGATTACATTTGCAGACTTAACAGTACATGAAGTGATGGTTACTTTTCTTCTATTTAGATTACATTAGCAGACCTAGCAGTACATGAAGTGATGACTACTTTCCTTCAGGAGGACCCATCTGTTTTAGATAAATATGAAGCTTTGACAGAACATCGGCGGCTCATAGAACATCACCCGAATCTAGAACAGTACCTAGCTGACAGACCAGTCACAATCGTGTAAATTGGACGATTTTTTTTTATCAAGGACTGGAGTCCCTACTCAACCAACACGTAAAAAGTTTGCAAGGGATGTGGTCATGGTGCTTTTTGTATGAAATTTTACATATATTATGCATGTTTTATAAACAGTCCAAGAATACTTATCATATGGTTAAAATGGGGATTAATTGTTTTGGTTTTTAAATGATTATACATGTATATAGATTATTAAAAAGTGAAGATTAAAAAGAATTATGTTGGATTTTATATAAAACTGCTATCCTTCCTTGTGTTTTTAAAATTTGATATTTTATGCACATTTATATATAACGATCGAATTATCTGATTTCTATTGTTCTTGACATAACTGCCTCATTTAAAGTCTTACACGTATGTGTTGCAGACATGCATATTGTTCTGACATTAATATAATTGCAAAAATTTAATTCATGCAAAACTTTTTAGGAAATTCATGTGATATTTTGTGATTGGTTATTTATTGTAATGTAATTATGTACTTTTTTTATGTTTACTTTTTTTTTCTGATCACATTTTGTCCGTCGTCCGTCCGTCCGTCTGTAAACTTTTCACATTTTCGACTTCTTCCCAAGAACCACTGGTCTAATTCTAACCAAACTTCGTACAAAGCATACTTGGGTAAAGGGGAGTAAAAATTGTTAAAACCAAGGGCCAAGTTTCTTTACAAGGGGAGATAATCCAGAAAAGACAAAAATAGGGTGGGGTCATTAAAAAATCTTCTTCTCAAGAACCACTGGGCCAGAAAAGCTGAAACTTATGTGAAAGCAACCTAGGGTAGTGTAGATTCTAAATTGTTCAAATCAAGACCCCCGGGGGTAGGGTGGGGCCACAATAAGGAATAAAAGTTTTACATAGAAACATATAGGGAAAAACTTTAAAAATCTTCTTCTCAAGAACCACTGGGCCAGAAAAGCTGAAACTTAAGTGGAAGCATCCTGGGGTAGTGTAGATTCTCAATTGTCCAAATCATGACCCTCGGGGGTAGGGCGGGGCCACAATAGTGAATCAAAGTTTAACATAGAAATATATAGGGAAAAACTTTTTTTTAATTTTCTCAGGAAATACTGGGCCAGAAAAGCTGAAACTTATGTGGAAGCATCCTGGGGTAGTGAAGATTTTAACTTCTTCAGATCATGATCCACCGGGGTAGGGCGGGGCCACAAAAGGGAATCAACGTTTTATATAGAAATGTATAGGGAAAAAAAATTAAAAATCTTCTTCTCAAGAACCATTCGGCCAGAAAAGCTGAAACTTATGTGGAAGCATCCTGAGGTAATGTGGATTCTAATTTGTTCAAATCATGACCCCGGGGGTAGGGCAAGGCCACAATAGGGAACACAAGTTTTAAATTGAAATATATAAGAAAATACTTTAAAAATCTTCTTCACAGGAACTACTGGGCCAGAAAAGCTGAAACTTATGTGGAAGCATCCGTGTGTAGTGTAGATTTTAAATTGTTCAAATTATGCGCTAATGTGGTAGGGTTGGGTCACAATATGTACTACAAGGGGGAATTTGGTAAAGAACAGCTTGGTCAACGCTACTCAGGTGAGCGATGTGGCCCATGGGCATCTTGTTTAATTTATCATTTTATTTTTATGTCCTATAATTGGAGATTCAGAGTATATAGTATGTAGTTTTCGATCACATTTTTCTCCGTCTGTCTGAACCGTCTGGGTAAACTTTTCACAATTTCAACCAAACTTGCCACAAAGTATCCTTGGGTGAAAGGGATTCAGGTTTCTTCAAATGAAGGGCCACGCCCTCATTCAAGGGGAGATAATTGGGAATTAATGACAATTTGGTGGCATATTTTAAAAATCTTCTTCTCAAGAACCACTGTTCCAGGAAAGATGAAACTTATGGTAAAACATCAAATCATGACCCCCGGGGGTAGGGCGGGGCCAAAATGGCCGACCAAAGTTTTACATAGAAATATATAGGAAAATTCTTTAAAAATCTTCTTCTCAAGAATGACAAAGCCATAATTCATCATATTTATATGGAAGCATGCTCAGGTAGTGTAGATTCAAGTTTGTTCAAATCATGACCCCCGGGGGTAGGGCGGGGCCAAAATGGCCGACCAAAGTTTTACATAGAAATATATAGGAAAATTCTTTTAAAATCTTCTTCTCAAGAATGACAAAGCCATAATTCATCATATTTATATGGAATCATTCTCAGGTAGCGAAGATTCAAATTTGTTCAAATCGTGACCCCCGGGGGTAGGGCGGGGCCAAAATGGCCGACCAAAGTTTTACATAGAAATATATAGGAAAATTCATTAAAAATCTTCTTCTCAAGAATGACACTGGCCATAATTCATGAAATTTATATGGAAGCATGCTCAGGTAGTGTAGATTCAATTTTGTTCAATTCATGACCCCCGGGGGTAGGGCGGGGCCAAAATGGCCGACCAAAGTTTTACATAGAAATATATAGGAAAATTATTTAAAAATCTTCTTCTCAAGAATGACAAAGCCATAATTCATCATATTTATATGGAATCATTCTCAGGTAGCGAAGATTCAAATTTGTTCAAATCATGACCCCCGGGGATAGGGCAGGGCCAAAATGGCCGACCAAAGTTTTACATAGAAATATATAGGAAAATTCTTTAAAAATCTTCTTCTTAAGAATGACAAAGCCATAATTCATCATATTTATATGGAAGCATGCTCAGGTAGTGTAGATTCAGGATTTGTTCAAATCATGACCCCCGGGGGTAGGGCGGGGCCAAAATGGCCGACCAAAGTTTTACATAGAAATATATAGGAAAATTATTTTAAAATCCTCTTCTCAAGAATGACAAAGCCATAATTCATCATATTTATATGGAAGCATGCTCAGGTAGTGTAGATTCAAGTTTGTTCAAATCATGACCCCTGGGGGTAGGGCGGGGCCAAAATGGCCGACCAAAGTTTTACATAGAAATATATAGGAAAATTCTTTTAAAAATCTTCTTCTCAAGAATGACAAAGCCATAATTCATCATATTTATATGGAAGCATGCTCAGGTAGTGTAAATTCAAGTTTTTTCAAATCATGACCCCCCAGGGGTAGGGCGGGGCCAAAATGGCCGACCAAAGTTTTTAAAGATATATATAGGAAAATTCTTTAAAAATCATTTTCTAAAAAATAGCAAATCCATGATTGGTCATGGGACTACTTGATTTAAACTTTACAATAAAAAACCATTTTCTACTTTTCCTACTTTTAGTGCTCAGGTGAGCGATGTGGCCCATGGGCCTCTTGTTGTCCTGTCCGTCTGTCTGCCTGTCTAGTTGCTTGTCTGTAAATCTAATTGTCTGTTTGTAAGCAGAAAAATTATTTTACAATAAGTTTTGATTGGTTGTTTCTATGGCTTTAATATTTCACATTGATACTTATGTATATCTTAAAGGCACGACCTTCCTTCGGGTATAAATATATGTGAAACCTCTTGACCTTGAATTTTGAACCACAATTGCAAAAATAATCTTTTAACCCAGGTAATTACTTTCCTACAGGTGGTGATAGGATTTCATACTTCACATGTGTATTCATTATGATAAACATGGTTAAAAAATAATTATTTTTTTTTTGAAAAGAATGTCAATACATGGGATAAAATTGTGTTTTTCAAATATAGATATTTTAAATTAAGAGAGTTATAATGACATGTATTTGTTTGTTTGTTTGTTTGTTTTTTGTTGTTTTTTTTTGTATTCTAAGTGTTTTAGATATAGAATAGTTTTTTTTTAATCAGCCTATGAATGTTTCTCACTGAAGGAGGCTAGGGGGTCAACTAATTATTTTTTTATGAACCACCAGATATAACTTAAATTTTGGGATATGATATCTTAAGCTGTCAACTATTATTTGGAAAAGAAAAATTTCATAAATTTTAGCTTTAAAATTTGATCATTTTATTATATCTTTATATGGAGCTCTTCTTCTAATGGAGATCAAAATAGTCTAAAAATGGCCACGACCACCCAGCCTCTTTAAGCGGGTATGTTAAGTAGGTAGATGTATATATAAAGGTTATTTATTTAAGTACACAAATATTAGGGCTGGGTATTGGCCAGAGATTTCGTATTGCGATATATTGCGATATTTTTAACTGTACTGCGATATGTATTGCAATATTTTCATTGAAAATTACAATAGCATTTTCTTATTATATTTACTTTAAATTACATGCAGAATGTACATAAATATGAATAGTAACCAAAAGGGAAAAAATCTTATGGATTTAAATAAAGTTCTGCTCTGAAATACATTCATAAAACATCTTCTGTCTTACTGTTAGGCTTCATAACAAACCTTTCTTACATTTTTTTAAAAATTTGATGATAAAATTCCTTATTCTAAGCATTTTGCCGATATATCGATATTACAAAAAACGTATTGCGATACGATATTTTTGTCACTGTATTGCAATATACCGAAATATCGATATTTTGTCCAGCCATAATAAGAAAATGCTATTTTAATTTTCATTGAAAATTTTGCAATACATATCGCAATAAAGTTAAAAATATCGCAATATATCGCAATACGACATTTCTGGCCAATACCCAGCCCTACTAACAAATATGCAATATACGTGAAATACTCAGTGTATGTTTTGTTGTATCCTTTTGGTAATGAGTATATGTATCTTATTTACCAATCGATTTAATTAAAAGTTTATGGTAAAAATGTGGATGTTGCCTCTCTCTCTCTCTCTCTCTCTCTCTCTCTCTCTCTCTCTGCAGTTGTCTCTCTTGTAATGTTATTTCAGCTGTACCGACTAAATGATCCTCATATCGGAATTTTATGTATGATAACGTCAATACGTTTTTGGTAAATATAAATTTAAAACTAATGATGATCATTGCTAAGTCATGTCCATTGACTATTGGAATTATCATACCTAAATGATCTAGAGCAATAATAGGGAGACGCCAAATTTTATATTGACAATTAATAATAATTAGCAATAGCTCTAAAACAAAAGCTCGATCATTTCATTTGGTTCATTATAATGCTGTTTATTGCTTTGTTGAGCAGCAATCTATGGTGGCATATTTATGCCATCTACATAACTTTTTGTTAACATAGCATATCATGTCAAATCAAGATAACTATCTCGTCAAGTCGTGATAACTTTCTTGTTTGTCGACAAACGCCGACTTTATATCTTGTCCAGTCAAGATAAACAATCGTATTTTTGCGATAGCTATATTCTATTTATGATGCAAGATAAGTTATCTTGTCATATCAATATAGTATCGCAACAAATATATCTTATCTTGACTGGACATGATAGAAGTCGGTGTTTGTCGAGAAACCAGAACGTTATCATGACTTGACGAGATAGTTATCTTGATTTGACTTGATATGCTATGTCGACAAAAAAATACTGTAAATCACTATTTATTTGCGAGAACTTTATTTTCGCGTAATTACGCAAGACAATGAGCTCGCTAAAATTTCATTCTCGCGTATAAAAGTATTCCTTACGAATATGTAGAAAAAAAACATCAATTCGTGAAAATTATGTCTCGTTATTAATTAGTCAATTACTATCTCGCGAAAATAAGGTGTCGCGAATATTTAGTGATCTACAGTATGTAGATGGCATAAATATGCCACCATAGCAATCAAATGCAGAAAAATGTCGCCCTAAAAATAAGGAGAAAAAAAAATGTCGTAAGATATCACAGTGCAGCAAATAGAGATACAATTCTGAGTTATTCTGGTGAAAACTAGATTACAATTTCAGAATTTGGTGAAGGAAGCAGGATTTGTGTGTCTGGTGAGCCATGTGTGTGTAAATGGCATGGGATTGATTGATTGATTGATTATTTTATTTTATTCTATTTTATTATTTTTTGAGTTTAGATACTCTAGGATGGGCTTTGGATGATCTTTTATATTTATTTATTTATTTTGTTCTATTTCATTTTTTTGAGAAATTTAATGAAACTTTACAAAACCTTTATTGGTGCACCTCCTATTTTACTTTTTGATCTGTGGGCGCCATTGGACTTTGTCATGTTATAACCATTGGGATTATCATTTAGTGAGCTCAATGCTCACCCCTAGTTTATTTTGTTCTATTTGAAAAGTGGGCGGGAGATCTTATTATACCCCCCGCTTGAAAAGTGGGAGGGTATATAGTAATCGGTATTTCCGTCCGTCCGTCCGTCCGTCCGTCTGTTACGCTTTGGGGTACCTCCTCTCATACCATTGAATGAAATTTGATGAAACTTTCACAGAATCTTTATTACATATTGCCATTGTGCACCTCCTATTTTACTTTTTGATCCGACACATATTTTGGGTTTCCCGGCCACAGCAAAACATGGACTTTGCAATTATAACAATGAGGAGGCGGAGGGTATCATTTAGTGAGCTCATCGCTCACAGTACCTCTAGTTTATTTATTTAATTCTATTTTATTTTCTGAGTTTAGATACTCTGGGATGGGCGTTGGATGATCTCAAACAATATGTCCTCGGTAACGATATGATCAAAGCGTTAATAGGAAAGTAATGGCCGCCCTCATACTTCCAAAACTTGAAAATGGAGCTTTGCTTGCAGATAAATGAGAAAAAAACTTACCATCATACTGTTAGCAAACAGTAGTAGGTGAAACTTTTTTAATGAATAGGTAAGGCGCCTTGCATTGTGTGAAATGTTGGCGTGATGTTTTATTGAGGAACTGTTGATGACGTGTTTTGACTGAAGTTACATTAAAAAAAAGTGTTCTGTTGTGACAAAACATGTTGATTTTATGAAGTAACACGAGTTCCACTTGATCAAATGAAATGACAAAAAAGTAATTTAGACTTGATAATGGTTGATCGTACGCGACCAATATGAAATGAAACTGAACTAAAATATCAGCTGAGTATAAAAAAACAAGCCATTCTTAGATGTAAATTTCCAAATATATATTTTGATAAACCGAATCAAATTTTAACATCTAGTGGATCCTTCATTATTGATATTATAATAACTACATGTATCTTGGCTTTGTTATTCGGAAGGTTTTTTATACGCATTATATAATTATTGTAACATTTGGTCTTGCATTTTATCCCAATTTCACCCTGGATTCAAATTTGGATTTTTTAATAGACTTTTTTAATTTCAAATGTCCACCCTCCCCTGCTGTGGTTCCAACCTACATCATGGGGCCATCGTTTTCAGATTTTAAGAAATATATGATATGAAATATGAAGGTAAGAAACAGTGAATACGTTCAGTAGTATACAATCAAACAATACAGATGAGAGCTGGGAAAACAAGAACCTCTTAAAACATCAAAGGTGGGATAAGATGCGGTAGAGACGTAAGCGTTCCTTGACGATCGGTTACATCCGCCGTGTGCACCTTGTCATAATCGGAAAACGGAAAAATCCGTTGACAATTCAGTGTAAAAATAAAGGTGTGTCAATTTGTATGAAAAAAATTTCAAAATTCGACTTATTGGTTGATTTTATTGCTTACAATGTCAAAATATCGACCATAAATTTTACGAAATATTGAGTAAAGGGAAATGTTGATATCCTTGTCTCATCAATGTATTTGTCAATAGCTTGCCTCATTTAAGAAATTGTTCATACGCAGAGCATGCTCTTGCGTATCAAAAGAACTAGAGAAAACGTCAATTCTTTTTGCGGGTGATAATGGCATTTTGCTGTACATAAGCAAGTATTCTAAGAGTATTACATTTCAAAGCTATAGTCCCATTCCCCGGAGTAATCTGTTTCTCATTAAAAATTGAAAGTGCTATAATTTCGTAAAATATTAATGGAGACTTGATTCATTATCAAGATAGACTCACTGACAAAAAATAATCTTGCAAGCATTTAGAAAATATCAAGATGCCACATACACCAACAATCAGCTCAATATTATCTGCAAGCATTCAGAATGCGGAAACCCAAGTGGAACAGACTAAGAGAGAGACGGTGCACAGCTAGACAGACAGACGGAAAGAAAAGGACCTCTATAGTCCCTTCGGTTTTACCAGTCAGCAAATAGCTTAGAGCTGTTAGTTACTAGTACTTTAGCTGATTTTTTTATGGAAGTACTGATTTGGGTATATTCGAAACATCCAGAGAAAACGTTGAGTGAAGAATGATATTTTTTCAATTACAAGCTAATTTATGCTGCTTTAAATAAAGCTATCACTGTGCTGCAGTGCACTGTATTGCAATGCTTGAGGTACTGTCTAATTTAGACATACTTTGTCAATTTTTATTATATGGCAAAACAGTAATTTGTAACCATTGCGAAACAAATGTTACAAAAAAAAAATACTTGTGAAAATCAAGACAGCAAGAGGTCTTTCAAACTTACAAAATCTTAGATTATTTATTTATTTTGCATGAGAACTATATGTGTTTATATAATTATTATGTCAGGAGAAGAACTCGTTTGTTGTAAGAGCTTGTTTCCAATATTATTGATTAATTCAATAAAATATGTTCATAAACAAATCATGTAATAAATGACTGCCCAGATACACCGAGACCCTCCTCTCCAATAACTTGTTTTGCAAAATCTTTTGATTACAAACGAACCATGCAAGAAAATGAGATATATCGGAAAAAGTAATCAGGAAAAACCCACATTTATAAATATTCAGTACCAAAAGGACACAAGCTAATTCAGAGAATCTGTGCCCCCCCCCCCCCCCCCCCCGGTAAAGGAAAAATAAAAGCATGCACTGATCCGGAGGTGGGGGTGGGTGCGTTCAAGGGAGCACTTTAAGGAAGGCGGGGGGGGGGGCATATGCATAGGGAGTCATGATAAGAATTTTAATTGCAAACCCCAAACATTTTTTAGATATCGCCCACAAATGTATATTTATAGTGACAAGGACTGGTGTCTCAAGGAAAAAGGTTGAAGCGGATCGACAGCTAATTCATTTAAGCCCGTATTGATTGAAACAAGCGGTCGAAGTTGGGGCAAGAAAACCCGAGTCAGTTTGTGTGACACTGGGCTGAGATGTCGAGGGACACCAGACCAAAATGTTTAGTCCCTACAACATCTCGCTGAGATTAACCGTAAAACATATTAAGCATAGTGTTTAAGTCTAGCTAATTTATTCCTGTTGTATGATAATTAATCACATAATTAGGCCCTATTTTCGTTCCGTAGTAACCGTCTCGATGCTCTTCGTAGAATCCCTCGACGATGCATGGCAAAGCAGCACTCCACCCCGAACCAGATAACTATAAGTCCAACAGTCAGAGTGGCGCAGAAAAACGCAAAGGCGATGCAGACGGAGAAAATGATATTGGATTCATCCATTCGTTTTTGTGAGCTCCATGGGTCTTTGGCAGCTTTCTCGTATTCTCTGTCTGCACTGACGGTCAGCAGTGACGTCACGCTGGTCACTATGACGAGAAAGAGCACGGTAGCTCCAAGGACGGCTCTTTTGCGCCTACTGAAGGGGCGGTTCCGCTCTAGATGCCAGGCAAGTTGACGTAAAGCCTTAAAAATAATGTATATATTATACACTTATTGACTAGGTATAACCTTTGACAACATATGATTTGTTGGACCTGAAGGTGAAAATGTTGCCCGAGGCTGCAGGCTGATGCTTACCTCTAGCTGAAGTATTCCTGGATGCGCAGGTGGTGTAATGCAGGCAAAATGACCATTACATATTTCACATTTAGTAGAGCCTTTGTATCGTACCCACTCCTTCAGACAGGAATAATGAACTCTGGACAACTGACCACGACAGTTACATTCAGTAGATCCCAAATCTTCATCTGAAATTTCGTACAAAAATTTGTGAATAATATTTTCTACAACTTCATCTGACATTTAGTTTATTCATAGAAAAGGTACAGTAATTTTTCCAACAGAAATTGTTTTTGTTCCTCGCGTTTATGTGAATTTTTCGGGGTCTCTTATTTTTTTCTTTGTTTTTGGGTCACCTGGGTCACTCAAGTGCCTATTGCTATACATTTTCGTCCGTCGTCGTGCGTCGTCCGTCGTGTGTTAACATTTGAACATTTTCAGCTTCTTCTCTGAAACCGCAGAACCAATTTCAACCAAATTTTGTATACAGCATCTATGGGTAAAGGGGAACAAAATTTATGAATTTCATGGTCCCTGCCCCCCTGGGGCCTGAGGGGTGGGGCAAAAACAACTAAAATTAATTAAATCTTTAAAAATCTTCTTCTTTACTCCTGGACATCAAGCAGTCAAACTTTTAGCATAAATGTAATGTCTAGAGTCCTCTGCCAAAATTGTGAAATTCATGGCCCCAGGATCAGGGGTTCTAGTGCTAGGGCGGGGCTCTATTGATTATATAGTGAAAATGCATTATTTCTTTGAAAATCTTCTCTGCTCCTGGGTATTAAATAAACATGTACATAGTTATGATGAGCAAGAGTGCCTCTTTCAGAATTTTGAATTTCATGGCCCCTGTTTCAGAGGTTTTACCACTTGGTGTAGGGGGGGAGCTCTTTTGATTGTAAAGTAAAATACATTAATTCTTTGAAAATCTTTTCCTTTGTTCCTGGGTATTATGCTAATCATCCAAGTATATGTATTTATGATAAAAAAAAATGTGCATCTGGCAAAATGGTTAATTTCATGCCCCCTGGGTCAGAGGTATCGGAGGGGGGAGGGTTACATAGTCTGAAAATAAATTAATGCTTTGAAATCTGCTCTTTGGTTTTAATCAACCATTTATGATAAAATAAAATTGATGATAAAATTTCCAAAATTTTGAAATATGTGGCTCCAGGGTCAGTGGTTCCTTTGGGTGGGGTTCACAACTGATCATAAAGTGGAAGTGCATTTTCTCTTTGTTACTTTGATCTACCTCGGGGTGTTAAGTAAATAGAGTAAGCATGCTTAGTTCATAATTATGATAAGCAATGGTGCCTCTTTCAAAATTGTGAATTTCATGGCCTCTGGTTTAAAACACGAACCAAATTAAATTTTTGGAAAGTTGTTACATGATACTCAGGTGACCTATAAGGCTCGTGGGCCTCTTGTTTATTTTTTTTCCTTTTTTTAAGAAAAAAAAACTTGATCTGTATTTTAGTATTTGCAGGAAATGGTCTTTATTTCGAAATCAAGATGTACCCGTGATTTTTCCATGAATGGAATTTTCTCTTCAAATTCTAATCTACAGTGGAGTCCTCTCCAGGGGGTGGGGGTGAGGGAGTGCTCCAGAGCAGCAGACTTTTCCGAGAGGAAATCTATTTCTTAGGGCTATTTTTTAACCATTCCCTTCAGAAGTTACAGTCAATGGACAAAAGTATTCGTCATATTTTAATTGGCGTTGCGTTAATCGCGATGCCTCTCTCGGCTATTTTTCACTCGCGCTATTTATAGAACAAACGAAATAGAATGCAACTTTCAATAAAGAGACTGGAGAAATTACGTCACGATTTTGTGACGTCATTTTGTCACTTGTGTGTCTGTAAACACTGGAAAACATCACTCGAAAACATGGGGCGAAAATCAGTTGAGTTGAGCACTGAGGTAAAAGAAATGATCGTAAAATCTGCAAACCACACTCCAAATAAAGCAGAACTGGCGAGAATGTTTGGTATACCAAGGTCAACAATCGTGAGTATTTTGAATAAATTTGACAGACTGGGTACTGTAGAAAACTTGCCGAGATCTGGCCGTCAACTTTTGTTTACAATTCGGGACAAGACGAAGTTGAATCGCCTCGCTAAAGCAAACAGAAGGGACACTTTGACAGATTTAACAAACAAACTGAACGAAGGAAGAGGAAGACAATTTAGTGAGAAAACAGTATTTAGAAAATTACGTGAAGAAGGGTACAAAAGGAAACGTGCAAGGAAGACTATGGTGGTTCGATGTGTGAACAGAAAAAAACGGGTAAAATGGTGTCAAGAACGAAAAAACTGGAAAAGTGATAATGAATGGAAAAAATATATATTTTCCGATGAAAGTCAGATTGTTATCGGGACAGATAACCGTGTGTATGTGTGGAGAAAGGACGCCGAAGCGAACAGTCCCCATTTGATTTGTCCGCCATCGAAAAGGAAGGTAACACTTATGATCTGGGGATGCATGTGTTTTGATGGTATGGGAACTATTGTACCTGTCGAAGGTAATATAAATGCACTCAAATACTTGGAAATAGTTGATAATAATTTATGGCCTGTAATTGCCAGACATTTCCCGAACAAAGACGTTTTCCAAGACGATAATGCTCCCGTACATAGGGCTCACGTAGTGAAAAACTATATGACTGAAAATAATATTAACTGCACAGATTGGCCAGCTCAGTCTCCAGATTTAAATGTGATTGAAAACATTTGGTTAAAGATCAAAAGAGAGCTTAAAGGCATGTCCGCAACTATTGAAAGTCGCGATCAGCTGTTTCATGCAATCCGACAAGTGTGGGAAAACATCCCCTTGGAATACGTCCACAGCCTCTACGCATCCATTCCATTCCAGATCGGATTAAAGAAGTAATACGTATGAAAGGAAATCTGACCAAATATTAGGTAAGTGACTTTAATTTTAAGTATACAAATCTACGTTTAAAACTTCCGTTGTGAACGTAAACAACGCGACGCCATTTTGAAAAATGACGAATACTTTTGTCCATTGACTGTAGTTGACGCTTTTAAATGTACCGGTATACTGGTTGACTTTGTCTGAAGAATTCGGGCCGAAATTCAAAGTGGCTACGGAGTATAGTTTCCGGGATGGTGTCTAGTGTCTACTAGTGTCTTTCTGTAGCAGCAATTCTGTCACGTACATATATCTTGTATGGAGTGATTTTTTAGTCAGTTTGTGGAATTAAATTAACCAAATATTTTTAAGATAATTCCGATTATCCATCAGTTAAATTTCAACTAAGAATGTTTTGAAAACTGAAAGTATAGTTTGGCACCTCTGATAAAGGTCAGTAGAGAATACATGTATATGGCACAAAATATTAATTTAAAAAAAAAAACAAATATAAATATTTCTTAGATGTTGGATAAAATTAAGACTGTATTTTAAAAATACCCGAATTCTTTTTGGCCAGTTGACAAATTCTGCAAACGTTTTCGCTGCTGGACGAGGAAGAATTGATGACAATATTAACTTGAAGGTCTGACGTGTTAGGAGAGGGCGTGACACCCGAATCCTCTGATGACGGCGTTAGTCCTATCTGTAAAGTACAAGAACTGATGGTGCAGTTATCGATTACAAGAACGCGGTCACCAGCATCTCTACTGCGGTTAGAAAGCAAAGGACGCACAGGTATGAAAGGTGAAAGCTTCTAATTTGAACAAAACTGAAAAGGTACCTGGGAAAGTTGGACCTCTTCTTCAGATTTCTGTTCTACACAGCTTGTTTCCTGGGATTGAGAGAGCTCAGCCATTTTATCTCGATAATAATTTTATGAAGTATACCTACATCATATTTTGTATTTACGTTTACAACGTTTAGGGTTCCTCTTGTTTACGTCACAATAAAAATGTCAACGTTAATATTTCCCGCGTAGCGTTGTGACATGACCCGGAGAGTTTTCCTTTGAATTAGTGCAATAAAACTCTTCATAGGCGTTTCCTTATACAGATTGAGATAACCAGATTCTGTATATCTATGATAAACGAAGATTTATTTTAAATGAAAACGATGATGGAAAGCTGTTTTCTTATCGTATATGATCATTTCAAACTGCAATTTCCTCAAAATTTGAGTGAATTTCGAGTAGAATTTTACAACATATACTTATAGCAACCAGTGGCGGATCCAAAAATTCTGGAATGGAGACGGGGGTCACGGATGGTTTTTGTTGACAAGCAGAAGAAAAAGAAATTGTTCAAAGACGAAAATCTTATGGGTGTTAGGTTCAGAAATAGCCCGGCCTATACTTGAGTGTTATACTGTCAGTTGTGGGTAAATAAATTGAAGTATATTCAAAAATTGGGAAAGAAATGCAAAATTGAGCCATAAAAACCCCGATGCAGTCAAATCTAAATTTAAATATTTGGAAAACGCATTTTGATAAATATTTACACTGATAAAGTGATAATTAAGTTGATGTCGATAAATGTAACAGAACCTCTATCATGTACAAGAAAGAAAAATGCTTTGAAATCGTGTATAAATCAAATTGACCGAATTAAATATCCCTTTCCTCCTCTCGCTTAAAAAAATCTAGAATCATCAAAGATAAAAGCTCAGAGTAATACAATACAGAAGAAGGAATCAAATTTTAAAACACCTACGTTAAAGCATTTGATTTATTTATTTATTTTTAATATAATTTATTAGTGTTTTGTTTTTATTGAAATAATTGTTTAATTTCAATATATTATATACATTATTTTTCATTTTCGTACAACTTAAATATTTAATTGAAAATAATGTTAAAAAAAGAAGGAAAATAAGTAAGTGCAGTAGTGTCCCTTTTCCGTGATTCGTATTATGGGGTTTGATAGATAAGCTACAGTCTATTATACAGTTAGAATTACTTCAAGTAGATCAGATAGAATATTGAACTTGGCATATCGTAATTTATTTTCATTATTTTTTGCGGTCGATTTCATTAGAAGCAATTCTTCCCTTTAACTCCGAAGAAAAAAAAAGATGTTTTCCTTTCACAAGATACAGCCTTGGTATTCTGTGCTATAATGTATCAATTAATCATCGTTTAGTACGGAGAAAGTCCGCCACGAACTTATAGTGTAATGGAAACCCTTGTAGTAGATGAATTGACATCATTTTATGAATGAAATTTCCGGCTACGTAAGAGCTCTATCACAGGACATTCACGCGCCAATATAAAGATAGTATCGCTAGGGAGGGCCCATCCTCCAGCTCCATTCATAAATATCATTAATAAAATATCATGTGACCAATGTATCAACGTTAATCAAGTTCACGAGGTCAATATTATTGAATTTTCTTCTATTTTATCTGCATTTCTCTCGCAATAAACATAGCAACATTTCTATGTCAAGGCAACTCGGAAATATATATTATTAACGTTCATACATTTCAACTTTGGATTTTTTATCAAAACACTATCGTAAAATTAACACCTTCAATTTTCAAAAAAAAAATTAAAATAAACACACCAACACCCTCACACACCGGTAACTCAGAATATCAGAAGGGTTTACCACAATATATTCTGCGTTTTTTTTTTATTTTGTTTGTTTGTTTTTTTTTAACACAGACCTTGAAAAAAATGCACCTTTAAGGTTCATCGATCCTGTATTAAGACTGCTTACCATCATTTGATAGAAGCTAATATCCATTTATGTCTTTTGAAATACTATTTATGCCTAATTTAGCCCCTCTGGGTACAGTGTATGCTAAACTTGTGTGTAATTTACTTAAAGAGTTTTCTTATGAAAAAAAAATACTTTTCTTTCGAAAATAACTACATGTATCAGGATTTTTAAAAAAAATATTTTGTGAAAAGAGAAATCTTAACAAAATATATATTTCCAGAATATCAATTTAAAAGCATGATACTCGGTTGTATATCAATGATATTGCAGGATACTCGTCTGGATATGAATGATATTACTGGATACTCGTGGAAGTATGTCATTGTAGAATACTATGTCATTGCAGCATACTCGTAAAAATAAATATCAAGGCTATTGCAGGATACTCGTGTAAATATCCAGGGTATTGCAGAGTACTGATGTGGGTATTAATGATACTGCAGGATAATCCTGAGCAATACATGATCTAAAACTTGATCATGGAGGTTATAATCGAAATACATTTGAAATAATTTAACTGATTTGCCTATACGCAGCCCAGTACTGCTTATCAAAATGGGCTGATTGAATATTTCAAAAAAGCATTTTTATACAGAAATTACCCCTTCCTGTTTGGCAATGAAAATTCTGGAAGACTATATTGGTTGACCGTAACATTTTTCCCGAAGTTACTGTCAACATAATAAAATCAAATGAATTATTTTCCATTACGTAAAACTAAAACTTAAAAACTGTATTGCTTTACTTTTAAATTTTGTAAATACAATGCGGTTTAATTTCAGTCCTGCAAAAAAAGCAAGCAGATGAAAAAAGTTGCGGTTAGAAGTTTTCTTTCGTCTGATTCAAACCATAGGCTTTAATTTCCTGTCGTCAAAAACAACATAAATTACTTTCAGCCATTCAACAACAATATATTTTTAATGCACGATTGATAACAAAATATCGTAAAATTTCATTAAATATTTAAAAGCTAATCGCCTCCTTTGTAAGCTGGATTTGGAACCAGGCTTTTTATTTTTGTTAGGTAATTTGGTGAGAAAACTGTTATAGATATTAGCAATGATACTGCTATTCGCCGCGTTTGATTGAATGAATGGTATCAGTATTTATATGAGGATGGTTCGGAGCACTTTAGTTAATTATTATACCATCTTCTCCACCCCTCTCTGGTGTCCATTCAACACAAGCTCCTATTACTTTGTGTTGCGGGGGCGACGTATTGGTACTATAAAAGTCAGATCGGACACGGACATTAAATTCTGGTATACAGATTGTTTTTTCTCATAGGTAAGTAGGAAATTTATTAATATTTCTATTATACATGTATCTAATGGTTTCAGGAAATATCCATATTCTAAATACCGGTATTTTTTGGAGTTTTACTTTTTTTAAGGATTGGGTATACCCATTAGAATGGAAACGGTGCGAGAACTCAATAGTGGTCAGTTCTTTCTTTGAAATGAACTTCATTATTCAAAAGCTTATGAATTTAAATCTAAAAATTCGAATAGTTTTGTAAACAGAACATTTCTATCTGAGAGATAAAAGGACTCGGAGAAAAAAAAAAAAGAAGAAATTCTTGGAAGTTTTACTCAATTTTATTTTAGTATACAGTTTATGTACACAATGGGTGTAAATGAAAAAGAAAATAAAGGAATTCATTATTGTTATAATGTATATGATATCATAGTTTTACTACAGCTTTAAAATATAATGATGAAAAAATCCACCAAAAGAGAAAAAATAAAATACGTGAAAAAAGTAATACACGTTACTCCCTATTTAATTGTGTCATTTCTGCTTACAGAAACATGCAGCCATATACTTGTGTTCTATGATTTTCTTTAGAAACAGTTCATACCATATCTGTTCGCAATATATCATTTTATAACTAAGTGAATAAGAATTTGCTTGTGTACTTTTGATGTTATTTTTCAGGAATTTGAGGACAATTGACTCCGTATACGTAGCGCAATTATAGAAAATATCATTGATTTATATATCAGTTTCGTATTAAACAAATTAATTCAGTAGTGGATAGATAATGAATTTATGCTATAGAAATTAATTGCTTATTTGAAAGCAATTTTAAGAACAACATTTATCACATCCATGCAGCAAGTAATTATAAAGTTTCCTATCGCGAAATAGAAACATGATAAATATAAAAAAAAATCTTTTTTGATATATCTTAAATTGGACTGACATACTCAGTACCTCAATACTTATAATCATAAGTACTGAGATACATATGTCAGATATAAATAATGAAGTGTACTTCGTTTGATTTTTTTTTATAGTAAATTTCACAAATTCCTTTTTATAAATGAAAAAAAAAATCAACAATTTGTTTGATAAAAAGATTTACATTTTCCTCCTAAAATGAGTATCAAATTCAAACGCAACATGATAACTTTTTTTTACCATTAAATTTCTTTCAATATTATGATGAATATTTGATAATGTCATGACCAGTATATGATCTGTATAAAACCAAAGTTTAAAAAAAACCTAAATAATTATGTTCTTACTCTCCTTCTTTAAGCTCTGATTTAATGATATCAAATAAATACATATTTAGAGAAACTATTTTCTTTTAATCGAGATTTCGATACTAATGTTTATTAGCATTATATGAAATTAGAACTGACCATTGATGTCTTACAATGATGAAGCATTTAAAAAATTGTATCCTCTCCAAAAGTTTTATAGTTGTGGGAATAAAACTTTTATAGAGAATAATTGTTATATACATTGGTGTACATGTACACAAGTTTTTAAATCCAGACCTTAGACTGGAAACTGGAAAAAGCGGTTGAATCAATTCGTACAAACAATCAAAATTAGAACCATAATAATTATTTTATACATCAATATAAGTTTGAGATTTCATATCCTCTTAAGTAAATAGTTCCCATTCAAGTTCACAAGACAATAAAAAAAAAAAATCTTGGAGATCTCAACCCGCTAAAACTTCTAGCAACTTAATCTGAACCCCCCCCCCTTTTTTTTTCTTAACAATTCTGCATGACTTTGAACAAAATATTCCCATAAATTGTCTACGTTTTCTAAAAATGGTTTAATGAAAGCAACAATTTTTTTCTATAAGTGAATGCCCGATCATGACCAGGAGCACACGGCGGGTGTGACCGGTAAACAGGGGGTGCTTACTCCTCCATAACACCTAATTACCCGAGACAACCTTTAATCCAACTTTTAAAAATCAAAGCTTTTGTCT